TTCAAAATTTTGTGGTAAAATATGCAGGAAAAAACTCGCTTTCTTATTACATGAACTGTTTTTTTGCATAGAAATACTCTCTTGAATAGATTCAACGACATGGTTTTAACGATATGGTGCAAAAGAGTCTTAGATCTTAGAGGAGAGTGACAGATTATAAGCAAAAAACTGGGGAAAGTTGAGAGATTAGTGGAGCGGAGGAATGAGATCAGAATAAGGAGTTGATACATCAAATTAATTGTATTGAATTGAGATGTAAAAATGGTTAAGCCAAGGCATTACAGAAGAAGTAAAAGAACAAATCCTTCATCATTTCGGATCTCTCGTTTTCACTTCGCAGCTCTTAGCTCCATTCATTTTGGCTCGAACATGTCAACTCTTGTAATGAGTAATGTCTTGAATGTAAGGTTGTAATATTTTTTTATAGTGATAGTGCAGTGGTTATGAGCGCCGTAGACGGTCGCTCAGCGCAGGTTCAATAACGGGGCGGGTTGCAGATTTTGGGTCTATTCCCAACATGCAGAAAAACTCAAACCATGTTCGCACTAGCTCATGCCATGTTCGGAGATGTCACGAGCATGGCTCCTTCTTATTGCGACAAATTTGGGGGTAACCGTAACTTGTCAACTGGCGGAGGGCTTTTTTGAAAGAGACTTACCTGAAAACAAACCAGGCGCGGAAGCTTGGAATAATTCGAAAAATTTGGATCTAATCTGAAATTTGGTGTAATGTAGATGCAAGTGCGAAGCATTGCTTTCGTGGACGCATGGGAAATTTTAGATGAGATGGCCCTCATAATTATGAAGAAAAATGAATTTTGCTTTTTGTGTTTTGTGGGATAATTGAGTCAACCGATATCTTTAGATATGCCTCTGCTAGAAGGTGCACCAAGAAGCTTGTCTCGAGTACCCCGACGACGCAAATACTCTTCTTATATCAAGTCAGGACTGTTGCAGAACCGTAAACTATGCAAAACTAAGTCGTTTATTTTAGACTTGACCCTTGGCCTACAGAAGTTAGCAGTAAAACTACCGATCCTGATGCTATCAGCTCTTCGGCGATTCTAAGCGCAAAGATATCCACGCTTCCCTTATCTGATTATCACGAATCAGAGATGAGTAAGACACCGACGGAATCAAGCCTTCGGAAGGGTGAGCTTCCTTATTCTAATTACGTCAAGCCAACTCTATTGAGTTTAGAGGCTGACTTATTTGCGAATTTCAATGCCAAAGTTGGCAAAAACCTAAGCGAGGAACGTCCACCAACGGCGGTTGGCAGTCGCGGATGCACACCTTCAGGTTAGCTACGCCCCTTCTGTAATTAACATTTGATTAGAGAATTTTTAAGAAACTTCAATTTGCAAGTCTTTCGAGGAAGCGATACTAATCCCGAACTTCCGTGCTGCCAAGAAACAGCCAACCACAACTTCAACATCGCTTCCTGCCACTACATCTGAAAACCGTGCACCAATCAGCGTGACAAGACCCACGATCTCAAGCATGACAACACCTTCAACTTCCGCGATGAGTTTTGAAGGCTCAGCAAAAGCTATGACACCTGTGATTGCATCTCTAATCTCGCTACCTTCAACTGATGCCGAGGGATCCACGCCGACAACGGCACCTGTAATCTCGGCATTGACTCCAACCGATATTTCCCTACCGGAGCCAGCAAGAGTCATGACACCAGTGATATCAGCTCTAGCCATGATGACTGATGCAGAAGGAAGAACGATTACAGTGCCAGTGGTATCTGCTTTAACTACGTTGCCTTTAGCTCCTCCAGAGGAGCCGCCAGGTGCCGTAACACCAGTGAAAACTTCTCTGGCCTTAATGGCA